ACACCTGCTTTCCCAGGCACCAGTTAGACTCTGCTTCTTAAAGATCTGTATTTCTCTCCCCTCCTCTGTAAGTAATACTCTAAAAGGAGTATCAAGAAAAACCCAAAATTCAGTTTCTCTTTTTACTTCACTAGCTCCTCAGTACCTTAAGTGTCTAGAGCTGGGTGTGGTGGCACACGCCTTTAGTCCCAGCACTTGGGAGGCAAGAGCAGGCAGATCTCCGTGAGTTCGAGGCTAGCCTGGTCTGCAAAGTAAGTTCTAGGAGATGTGCTTTTTCCTAATCATGTGCTGGCGTTATGATCTTACCTGTGCTGGCCAGTTAGAGACAATGCCTTCATTGTCCCACAGATAGTGTTCTCATATCTAGTGCAAGCTAGTGAAGACCATACAAATGGCTATAGTGGTTTGTGTCTACTACAGTCTGAGCTTTTGGGGAGGCTGAGGAATAAAACAAAACAAAACTTTTAAACAAACAAACAAACAAAAAAACTTGAACCCAAGGGAACTCACTATGTAGACCAGGCTGGCCTCAAATTCAGAGATCCACCTGCCTCTGGTTCTCCAGTGGTGAGATTAAAGACGTGCCCAGCCAAAATGGAAACATTTTAAAGACACCCTCATCTTCAGTATTTCATCGCCATCTGTAGAGAAATCACTGATCTGTAAAAGATGAGGAACTAAAGATACTAATGGGCAATACTCCATATTCTCTTTAGTTTTTGTTTCTTTGGGGTTTTTGGTTGGTTGGTTGGTGGGGTTTGTTTTGTTTGTTTGTTTTTGTCTTCTTGTTTTTATCTTTGTTTTTGTTTTTGCACATGAGTAACTACAGAGTTCTTCACTCTGGCTCACCACACCAGATCTCAGACAGCTTTACTGACTTGCCATGGTAAGATAACATGCTAGCAAATCTGTTAAAATTAAAATTCCTGTCAGTTTGTGCGCCAGTGAAGCTGAGAGATTTGAAGACACCAAACATTGATAAACCAATGAAAAGCATGCTTGCACAAATTCTCTAAACAGAGACACAGGCAGACAAAACCACAGCCAGTACTCACAGCTCATGATAAACCACAGGGGATTCTTCTAAGAGTTATCTGCATTATAGCCTAGCTTTGAAGTTGCTTCGATTTGTTTGAGGCAAGGTCTCTCTGCTTAGCCTTAGCTGTCCTAGAACTCACTTTACAGACCAGGCTAGCCTCGAACTCACAGAGATCTGCCTGCTCTTGCCTCCCAAGTGCTGGGACTAACGGCGTGTGCCACCACACCCAGCTCTAGTCTATATTCTGTTGCTCAGGAAAAATAAATTTCAAACCTGTATCCTTTTCATAATCAATTTAGTTGGCACCGGAACATTTGTAATGGAGAAACACAAGAGTATACTTTGAGAATTAAGTAGCCAGCGTTGTGACACTTGCCTATAATCTCAGTCCTCAGAAGATTAAAGGCAGCCAGAGTGGTGTAGCAACATTAGTCTCAAAAAAAAAAAAAAAAAGGAAAAAGAAAAGCATGCATGTAGTTATTACAAATGAATTCTCCCAGCCAGGTATCAACACCTAGAGTTCTTGTACTCTAAAGTCTGCTGGAGTCTGGGAGTTAGGCCAGCTTGAGCACCACAGTAAGACCCCATCTCAAAACGAAAAACACTGGGCTAGTGAGATGGCTCAGCAGGTAAAGATGCTTGCTGCCAAACCTGATGAGTTGAGCTGGACGGAAGAACCCACATGGTAGGAGAAAATGGACTCCCATGAGTTGCCCTCTGTTCCACACCCATCATGGCACCCATATGTCCACTAAAGCAAATAAATGAACATAAAAAAACATTTTCATACCTGCAAATACAAATATTTCCATCAATAGACTACCCACAGGCACAGAACGGTAAGATTACAGCTGATCTGAACTAAGAAAAAATAATAATAATAAGGAGCAGAGACCCATGAATGATCTGCCTTTCCTGGTAGTCCGTAACTGCCACACAATGACAACTGCCAGAATGCCTGGGAGTCCCAGCCCCCACAACAAGGACACAGGTAAAGTCACATACTCTTTCTTGGTATTTTGTTTCACTTGAGTGTGTGTGTAAGTGTGTGTGTTTCATTGGTTTTGGTGGGGTTTTCTCCTTTGTTTTGTTTTTCAAAACACGGTTTCTCTGTGAAGCCCTGGCTGTCCTGGAACTCACTAGACCAGGCTGGCTTGAACTCAGAGATCCTCCGGCCTCTACCTCCCAAGTGCTAGGATTAAAGAAATGTGTCACCACCATCTGGCTGCTCCTTCTTGCTTTCATGGGAAGGCCTGAGCCAGGGCAGAGACAACCTTCTTAAGAGTTTAGTTCTAGGGAAGGACAGCCCTGCTCACCTCCTTAGCATGACAGGCAGAGCACGTGGCTCTAGAATTTGCTTTCTTTTTTAAAGATGGGGTTTCCCTGTGTAGACTTGGCTGTCCTGGACCCGCTTTGTAGACCAAGCTAGCCTTGAACTCACAGAGATCTGCTTGTTGTTGCCTCCCTGAGTGCTGGGATCATAGGTGTGCGCCACTACACCTGGCTGCTTTCTTTAAATAAAAATAAATCTATCTTAAAATAGTTTTACTTTATGCATAGGACTATTTTGCTTGGTTGTATGCACGTGTACCATGTGCATACAGTGACCACAGTTGCTAGAAGAATGCATCAGAGCTCTTGGAACTGGGCTACAAGCAGCTGTGAGCCTTCGTGTGGGTGCTAGGGATGGAACCCAGGAGGTCCTCTGCAGGAGCAGGAAATGCTCTTAACCAATGAGTCATCTCTCCACCTCAGGAATTTGCTGTCTTAAAAATACCTTAGGGTGTCTCTGAACGCACTATATAACCATGGGTGATCTTGAACTTGTGATTTCCCTGCCAGCAATTCCAACATGCTAGGATCACAGGAGTGCACACACCTAGCTTATGAGGTGTTAGGGATTGAACCCAGGGTTTAGCGCATGCCAGGAAAGCACTCTGCCAGTTAAGCTGCTGCCCCAGCCTGCATTCGAAGTTTTGAAAGTTTGATGAGTCTGCAGTTTGTGCTAAGGAGACTCATAACAGTCCTAAGCAACAGGTCACCCCTTAAAGGGGCTAGACATCTGGCTACCACGGGCAGATTCCTTACTTCTTACTTCTATTTTCCTATGGGCGCCTCACCAACAACTGAAGTTGTTTTCTCACTCAGGAATAGCACAGCCAGTTATTCAGGCAAAGTGGTCAACGAGCAATCTTAACTGCTGACCAACTTTTTAACTGGGCTCATGGCAAAAATAAATTAAAAGTGAATAAATAAATATTAAAAATCTGCTGTTTTTCAGGGAAAGTGATGCAAACCAACTAATGGTTCCCGGTCCCTTTTGATTCCTTTTCAGCAAAGCAGCCAGCTGTGACCCGACCTTTCTCCTGGCTTAAAAATCGCTGGGACATGAGTAAAAGGACAGAAGGTCCAGTTGTTGGGAGCACTGGATCCCCTAGCATGGGACCTGCAGTTTGATTCCCAGTATCCACATGTTGGCTCCTAATTACAGATCCAGTCCCAGGGAACCCTGTCCTCTTCTGACCTCCACAGGTATTAGACATGCACAAAGTGCACATACATACATACATACATACATACATACATACATACATACACACACACACACATGCCGACAAAGCACTCAAACACACATAACAAACCGAAAGAAAATGTTTTAAAATCTTCTCAGGAACTGGGTAAATTGGCAAATGAACAGCTGCCACCTAATAAGATTCTAATGTATTACGTGAGCAATTTTTTCCCTTGTCTTCTATTTTTCTGAGACAGGGTCTCATGTAGCCCAGACCTCCAAACTCAGAGAGTGCCTCTAGAGTGTGGGATTAAAGTCGTCAGCACACTAGGAATATGCTTAGACCTTCTTCATCTTCTACATGCTAGGATTTCAGGCATGTGCCACCATGGCACCAAGCCCTGCTTTTTGCTTTTGTTGGAGTTACTTTTCAAGGCTCAAAAGAGTGTACAGGGGGGGATATGGTCATAGACTGTTTTCTGGCTTCAGACAGTGTCATGTCTTTCTTTTCATTTTTAAATTATATTTTCTGTGAATGGGTGTTCTGCCTATATCATGTGTCTGTAGACTGTGTGTGTTGCATCCCCTTGGGACTGGAGTTAATAGTTGTGGGCTGCCATGTGTGTTCTGGGAATTGAACCTAACTAGTGCTCTTTACCCTTGAGCCATCTCTCCAGTTGCCCCCCTCCTTTTTTTTTTATAATTTACTTTTAAAAAGTGAAGACCCTCCACACTTTGTGTTTTTGTTTTTTACTTTGGACACAGGCTATCTGTGTAGGCCTGCCTTGCCTAGAACCTGCTCTGTAGACATGTAGATCCACCTAACTCTGCCTTCTGAGTACACCGGGGATTAAAGGCATGTACCACCATCTCTGGTGTGTGTGTGTGTGTTGTGTATGCATGCTCGTGCATAAGGAACTCAGACAGCAACAGTCACTTCTCTCCCTCTATCAGGTGGGTGGGTCTCGAACCCAAGTCATCAGGCTTGGCAGCAAGCATCGTTACCTGCTGAGCCCTTTTGCTGACCTCTTTATTCCTTGTTCGGGGTCTTCATGATGCCCAGGCTGCCCTCTAATTCCTGGGTTTAAGTGATCTTCTCCCATCACTCCCCGAGAAGCAGTAACAATGTGTCCAGCCTTGTATTAGCTTTGAGTTTGTTTGAAATTTGTCAGACTTTGTCTTCTAATGCTGAACTCCCCAACAGGCCAACTGGAATTCATGTATGTGTTCAATAATGTCATGCAGGTCAAGCTGGTCAATGCAAGCAACACACAAAGCGCACGTGACAATAGCATAAAAGTGCTCTATCCTGCTAGGAATTTTATTGCATCCAAACACATTTCTTCATAGGGAATTAAAAAACAAACAAACTAAACTCAAGGTGCACAAGCATGCGCCTTGAAGTGAACAATGACGAAGCCTGCTGAGACCACACAGAGCAGATGCCCGTTCAGAGCAGAGAACACATGAATGATTCTTTATTCAGTTCAGACAGACGTGTACAACCAATAAAACAGAGGCCACAGACAAGACCGTAAGTACACCTGAGCTTTTACATTCCACCAGGCTCTCTCAAGACTAGCATGCTCCACTTAGCAGCCAGGTAGAAGGAACTCATGTGCAAGGGCCAGCTGTGGCATGGGCATAGTTCAGCTCTGAATGACCAGAATGAGGACCTTTGTTTGAACTAGCTTCGTTTCCAACCTAAAGCCATCTATTGCGTTAATTTCAATACAGCAAAGGTGTCACCTGGCTGGCTACATTACACTGGTGACAAGAACGGGTTTATTGAGTCTTGAGCTCAGACTGCTGGCCCTTTGGGCTGGTCTTGTCCACCTCTGCGTTCTGAGACTCGGTAGACTGAGGATAAAAGGGACCTACCAGCCAGTTGAGGGGCGTGTTGTTAACAAGGTAATCCATCACATCGTCTAAGGACTCCTTCATTTTCTGCAGCTGCCCCTTGCTAGAAGCGAGGACACCGTCAGACACTTCCTTAAAGGAGGTAGCGTTGCGGAACACGGAGTAAATGTCGCCCGCCGTCACCCCCACGTGTTTGGCCTGATCCTGAATGTGCTGTGGTAACCCTTGGACGTTGGACAGGAGAGTCTGGCACGTAGTCTGGAGCTGCTGAGTCAGGTTGCGGGCGATAGCCAGGGTGCGTGACTCGATGTGCTAAAATTTAAAACAAACTCAAGAATTAGCAATGGACCCAACGGCGCTGTGCGTGATGTAGCCCGACCACGGTAAGCTGGCTATGCATACATACAGGCGTCCACTACATAGGCGGCTTCTCTGACTCTGGAGAACCTCCTTGTTTTTCCCCAGGGAGGAATGCTCGGGCACTGAGCTGAACCCCCAACCAATCCTTGGACTTTTTAGTAACAATACTGAATGCAGCAGCACTAATCACTTCTCAGCTAAGAACGGACACTTAGTGTTTAAGTGATTTGCCCAATTAGCGGCTGGAAAGCAGTTAAGCAGGAAGATTTGAACTGGGGACTGCAAAGGTCACCATCTCAAAGGTGGAGGGCGGACAATCAAAATGTCCACTCCCTGTTGATAACTTAACTTAGACAGTCTATTCCCAAATAGGAAGAAATGATATGAACAAACAATTGATACCGATTTCAGGGGCCTGCTGGCGTCGGGGACACTAAGAACCACTCTGTACAATTACACTGAGCCGACGCTGGACCATCAGCCCGTTTGTTCTTTCGGTAGTTTACTAACATCGGTTCTCAGCTGTGTCCTCATCCCCTCTAGCAGCCACCTGACTCACCCATTTGAAGGCAGGTACTATGCACCACTGACACACCCCAGCCCTCTCTTTATTTTTAAGAATACTTAAACTGCATTTACTGCGTGCATTTATGCAGAGGCCAGAGGAGGACCTGAGGGAGCTGGAGAGGAGAACCTGGGTTGGTTATCTCCTTCTAACAAATGGGTACCTGGCGCCTTCACCTACTTATCCGTCTCACCAGCGCCTCTCTACTTTTTTATTCAAATATACGCCCAGGCTGGCCCTGAACCTGTTATCCTCCTGCCTCAAGACTCCAAATAGCCGGTATTCCATGTCTGTGCCACCAGGCAGGGGCTGATAGGAATAGATTCTGAGGGAGCTCATAGGGAAACTGAAACAAAAAGTGTGGTAAGAACTTCTCCAGGCGCCGCCCTGAACGGCTCTGCCTGCCATCTTACCTCAGCACAATGGGACTCATCCGTGTCATCGTAGCCGATGCTTCTCTTCCACTCCACCCAGGAGACGTAGAGCTTATCCTGAGCGCCCTGAATTTTCTGGTTGGCACTGTGCACATTCTTCCTGGCGAACTCAATCTGCCATGAGACAAGACAGGTGAACACGGCAGCTCTTCGTTTCCCGTCTGCTGGACACCCCAGTTTAAAGAGAGCTGCACGCACTTACTGACTCAGCAGTCAGCCGAGCAGCAGCAGCTCTTTATTGCCTCTTGGCAACTCAACTATTAAATTGTTGATGCCAAATGTGTCTCCTGTTTAGCACAAGAAAAAGAGTTTATATCTGCATGAAGAGGAAATGAGAGTTAAAAGAAAAAAGGTGTGGGGGTAAAATAGAAAAGGAAGAAGGCCAGGCACAGTGGTGCATGCCTGGAATCCCAGCACTGAGGGGGCAGAGAATTGGTACAAGTTTGAAGATAGCTTGGTCTGTTCTGAGCCAGCCTGAACTACATAGCCCTTCCTCTTCCTTGTTACTAGCCACCTGTTTTTCCAAGAAGAAACTGGCGTTCAATCGAGTACATGCCGTTCTTATATTTTTGGTTGTGAGCCTAGCCTTGAGCGGCTGAGCCATCTCTCCAGCCCAGGACCATTCTTTAACTTGGCAATCTTCAATGGCTGCACAATAATTCACTGTGATGTGCTGCAGACCCACCCGGCCCTACTTAAGGTGCACTGTTATCGCCCCTGGCAACTACAAAATGAAAGGCAGATCTGTAAGGCGGATCTCTAACAGAAAAACTGCTCAAGGTATAGATTTAGAACTTTCTAGACTAGCCTGATTTTTTAGGTTTTTTTTTTTTTTTTTTGAGACAAAGACTTAGTCCTGGCTGTCCTAGAACTTGCTATATCGACCAGGCTGGCCTCATACACACAGCTATCCCACTACTCTTCCCTCCATGCGTGCTACAATTAAAGGAAGTGGTTTCCCTTATTCATTTTTTTAAAGTCTTAAGTTATTTTTGTTATGTGTATAAGTGTATGTCTGCATGTATGTGGGTGCACAGCGTGCTTGCTGGTGCTTCCAGAGGCCAGAAGAGGGTGTGGATGCCCTGGAACCAGAGCTGCAGGTGGTTCTGAGCTGCTGTGTGTGTGTGCTGGAGACCTGCCTGCGTGTGCCACAAGTGCTCTTAACCGCCAAGACCTCTCTCCGGCCTCACGGAAGCTGCTCTCTCAGTGCTGTTCACAGCAGCAACCTCTTGTCAGGACCACTGCCAACTCCACCACACTCTGTTCGTGCCACAGGACAGGGAGGGGGCTGGACTCAACACCCCAGGAGACCTAGTTTTAGAGACCTTTCCTAGCGACGCCTGAGCACCCTCCAGTCTCCCACCTAGCTGTGTGTATACAGTATTGAAATTCTTAAGTGTCACAGCTGTATCTACTCTGACCCTTATGACACCGCACTCACCAGGTGAACAGTGGAATGTAGCTGGGAAATGGTCTCCTGGCTCTTCTGCTTGGCGTCCTTAACCCTGCCGAGGGCCTGCTGATAGGCCCGGGAGCGGAGCTTGCTGGACAGGGACCCCAGTCTTACATAGTAACTTGGCTTCTGAACTGTATCAAATCCTTCCACCTTTTTTGCTTCCATCTCTGACAATAAAAGACAAAAAGAAAAAGAGAAAATAAACAAGGGGCCTCAGCTGGGAAGGTAACAAAGATGCTTTCACTTCCTAAGGCTGTTCACACCCTGTATCCGTTACACATTTACACGTTCTTCTTCCAATGAGCATGAACTTAGCAACATGGACCCTGGCACACAGCACAAGCAGTAACAGTAATTAAGCACCACTTGGCCGGTCTCAAACTTGCTATATCACCAAAAGTGGCTTAAACTTTTTTTTTTTGAAGATTTATTTCTATTTCTATGTATGAGTTTTGCTTGCATGTAATCTGCACATCGCATGTGTGTGGTGGAACTGTAGTTCCAGACAGTGAGGGTCCTGGGAATTGAATCCAGGCCCTGGCTTTAAATTCTTGATCCTTCTCCTGCCCCTACTTCCCTTGTACTGGGATTACAGGAATAAACCTCCATACCCTACTTTTTTTTTTGAAACATGTTCACTATGCAATCCTGACTGGTCTGGAACTACTATGTGCCTCTACCTGTAATACCAGCACTTAGAAGACAGAAACAAAAAGATCAGGAGTTCAAAGTTAGCATCATCTATTTAGTGAGTCTGAGACCAGCCTGGGCTATGAGAAACCCTGTCTGAGTAAACAAACAAATAACAAGAAAGAGTTCGTACTTGGGATCAAAGGCATCCTCATCTACAGAGTGAGTTCAAGGCTAGCCTGGATTATGTAAGATCACTAAAAGAAAAAAAATTAAAAGGCCGGGAATATGGCTAAGTGGGCAGAAGCACCTGCCACAAAGCCTGATGACCCGAGTTTGATCCCAGCACCCACACTGTGGTGGTTTACGTGAGAATGGCCCTTAGAGACCTTTGGTTGAATATTTGGTTCACAGTTGCTGGAACTGTATGGAAAGGATGAGGAGGTGTGGCCTTGATGGAGCAGGCTTTAGGGTTTTAAATTTGGGTGTCATTCCCAGCATGCTCTCTCCGCCTCTAGCTTGTTGATCAAGATGTAGCTCTCAGCTGTTTCTGCTGCCATGCTTTTGCTCCATCCCCATGGCCTCTCACTCTCTGAAACCATGAAGACCAATTAAATGTTTTTTTTATAAGTTGCCTTGGTCATAATATTCTGTCACAGCACGAGAACAGCGACTAAGACACACACACAGGAAGGGCAGAACCAGCCCTGCAGCTTGTCCTTGACTTCCACATGTGCATCCTGGCATGCATGCACACCACATACCACACAAAATAAGATGTCATTTCATTGATTGATTGATTGGCTGGCTGGTTAAAGGTAATGGTGGCTTTTGGCTGGGTGTGGTGGTGCACACTTATCCCTGCACAAACAGGCATATCTCTCTTGAGTTCAAGGCCAACCTGGTCTACACTGCAAGTTACCCACCAGCCAGGGCTACGCTGTGAGACCTTTCTCTAAATAGTGAACATGAAAGCACCACTACCTAGCTCCTCCTGAGTGAGGGGGAGGTACTGGTCTACCAGCAGCTCCGACTTGGCAAGTGCATTTTCTACTCCACTGCTCACAAGCTGCACCATCCGACTCCCCAAAACTGTGTTGATGCCGCCATTGACCACAGACTTGGTCCTTTCCACGCCGCCAGTAACTGCTCCCTTGGTCTTATCCACCATCCCTGTGATCGTGCTGGCCACAGAATCCTTGGCTCCGACCACAGTAGTTGTCACTGCGTCCTTCGCCCCAGTCACGGCACCTTTGGCATTGGCAACAACCTGGGAACAGAGAAATAGACAAGCCGGCTTATGAGAAACATGGGCGAATGACATGGGCTACGTAGCTAAATAGTTAAAGATGGACTGAACATGCCCTCTTACTTCCCGTCTTGGGCACAGCATTAAGATTTAATGAGGCTGAATGCCTCCATCAGGACTATTTGTCCTACCAGCCACTCCCTTAGGATTGTTAGATGTGCAAATAAAATAAATAGGAAATTAATCAGTTTGTTGAGGCAAGTTGTCTTGAGCTACAACCACAGTACATAAGTCATGCTGGATATTAAAAACAAGTCATCAAAAAAACTTTTTTTTTAAATTTTTTAAGAATGAGTCTTATTGTGTAGATCAGGCTGGCTTTTAACTCACAGTGAACACTCTGCCTCTACATAGAATCCTGAGATTCAAATCATGTACCAGTATATTAGCCAACCATTCATCAAAATTTAAATACCCCAAATGGGAAATAATTCCATAAGCAACATAAGTGAAAATTTTAGAGACACAGAAAAGTATTCTAAGGGCTGTACACTAAACTCACCTATTTAAATGGTGAGAAACACAGCAGAGTTTACTCCTAACTGATATCATTTTGTGCAAGGCTGTATTGTTTTTTTTTTTTTTTAAGATTTATTTATTTTATGTATATGAATGCTCTGTTTTCATATACACCAGAAAAGGGAATCAGATTCCATTACAGATGGTTGTGAGCCCCCATGTGGTTGCTGAGACTTGAACTCAGGACCTCTGGAAGAGCAGTCACTTCTCTTAACCACTGAGCCATCTCTCCAGCCCCACAAGGCTGTATTCTTAATCAGAAAGAAAAAAATTAGGGCATTATCTGAACCACATGATCACTAGAATAGATGAAGCAATCGTTTTGCCAACACTGGCTAGCATGTAGTTCCTACCAGGAATTCAGGGAGCCAATCCAGACCATCTCTCCCAGTCTGTAATAAGTCCAGCACCATATGGAATCAGTTATTTGAGAGCAGTTTCACAACAGGAGTCAAGTTACAAACTGCTAGAGACCAGCCTAAAAGCATTTCAACCAAAAGCAGCTAGTTCCTCTGTTTCTTAGACTCAACCCCATAGTAGCTCAGGAAGATGGGGAGAGGCCATTACTCCTTCCAAACCACACCTAGCTCCAGCTTAAGGGAAAGATTTGTGGCATACAGAGCCTGGCCTAAGGAGAACATGAAAACACTATGAGCAGCGAGCCTCAGCACTGTCCCAAGCTTACCTCCGCTGTTGGCTGATTCAGAATAGGCAGTCTTTCCTCGATCCTGTCTAGCCCCTTGCAGGCATAGGTATTGGCCACGGCAACTGCAGGAAACACAGATGGGAAGATGAATCACTACTGTAAGAATAGAATGAACACACAGAACGATACTGAAGGGCTTTATTTAGCCTCATTCCAACAAAACTGCAAAATACCAAGAAATGCAGTTTTGTTTTCCTTAAAACCACAAATCTACTTCCTGGTTTCTCTAGCACAGACATGAAGATATCTGGCAGGTTCCTGGTTACTTTCTTCCAGTAACAGGTAAGTAACAGGGTGTATGGGAAAAGTACCTAAGGAAGAAGGCCTCAATGTTAGTGGCAGAGTAGGCAAGCTTCCACTGAACCTTCACTCAGGAAATAAAGTAACTGAAAACTCTCAGAATTAGCATTTCCAGGCTGGGTTAATCCTACTTATCTCAGGACATCGAGATACATTCTGGAATCTCACCAGTGAACCGTAGCACCCCGGATCTCCCTACCATGGCCCAGATTTTAGTCTAAGCTTCCACTTTAAACCTGACAGTTTAAACCTGACAGAGTGGGCACGGTGGCACACTCCTGTAATCCCAGTGCTCAGGAGGCAGAGGCAGGAGGATGGCTGTGAGTTTGAGGCCAGCCTGGTCTACAAAGCGATTCCAGGACAGCCAAGGCTACACAGAGAAACCCTGTCGGGGGCGGGGGATAATAGGCCCAAGTATCCACACCAAATTCACTAGGGAATTAGCACTGTTAGAATAGCTGTTTCTTAAAGGATCCTTATAATCCCAGGCTTTTCTTACTCCATTGTGTGCTTTTATCTCACTATTTTTCTAGATTTTCAATGAAGTCATTGATATGGGCTATTGTTTTGCAGACACAAGTGTTTAATGATACACATTTCCCCCCACACTTCTTTAGTGGCACAATCATGCATTTTGATGTTTTTAGTTTTCTGAAGCTTGAAATATTTCCTTATTTACCTTTTATCAAGTATAATTACAGATGTATGCCACCATGCCCACCTGAATGTGATTTCTTCGTAGATTTTAATAAATTCCAGTATTATGTAACTTCACAAGCCACTTTCTTTGGTTGTCTTTATTACCCTAGAGTCAATGGTGATATGCATATATTATAATCATTACAGTCTAAGTAGCTGCTCATTCTGTTTCTAGTACATTTTAAATCTTTTAAGCTATTGACTTGTAACTCACATGCCACATAATTCACCCACTTCAATGCATAATTCAGTCTGTTCTGTTAGATTTCCAGATAAGTGCAATCATTACCAAGCTCAATTTTACATTTTTTGATACCTTCAAATCCTTCTTAAGCATACCAATACATATTTATGAAAAAAAAAAAGACACCCATTTCTTTGTATGCTAGGCAGAAAATTTAAGAAACATGTTTAACAGCAGAACTCTGTTTCCTTTAGATACACCCCTGTGCCTTACTGACTGTTCTGTTGCTGTGAAGAGGCACCCAGAGCAAGGCGACTCTCATAGAAGAAAGTATTGGGAAAACAATCTGGTGGTTCCTCTAAAATTGAAGAAAAAAAATTTAGTGTTTATGGGTGGGCGTTTCACTTGCATGTGTATCAAGGGCACAAGCCTGGTGTCTGCAGAAGACCACAAAAAGCCACTAGGTCCCCTGGAACTGGAGTTACAGATAGCTGTAAGCCACCATGTGGGTGCTGGGACTCTCATCCAGGTTGTCTAGAAGAGCAGCCAGCGCTCTTAACCCTCACTCATCTCTCCAGCCTCAGCTCCTCTGAAATTTAAATGGAGTTATTAAAGACCCAGAAACTGCACTCCTAACTACATACTAAGGACACTGAAAGCATTTACCCCAAAGCTTGTACAAACATATGTTCACAGAAGCACTATTCACCACCACCTTCCCAGGGTAAGTGCAACCTAAATGCTCATCAGCTGACAAGTGGATAAAATGCTGGGGCTGGGGAGCAGCTTGGTGGCTGAAGTGCTGAGCACAAAAGCTTGAAGAACAGAATTCAGATCCCCAGGGTCCCACACAGTGTGCATCACAAAGGCATCTGCAATCACAGATCAGAGAGCCAACTGGCTAGCCCAGGTAGCCATATAGATCAGCGATCTGGCTGATGGCTGCCATCAATCTCCACCTCCACATACCTGCACCTGCACAGACACACACACAGAGGGGGAGGAGTATTGTCCTGGTGAGTTTTTATGTCAACTTGACACAAGCTAGAGTGATCAGAAAGAAGGGTACCTCAATTGAGAAAATGCCTCCATAAGAGAGCTGTTTGCAAGCCTGTAGGGTATTTTCTTAATTAGTGAAGGATGGAGAGTGTCCAGCCTATTGGGCAGGGGGAGGAGGGTCCCCCAAGTTCGTAGTCTTGGGTTTTATAGGCAAGCTGAGCAAGCCATGAGAATCAAGCCAGTAAGCAGCACTCTTCCTTCCATGGCCCCTGAGTCAGTTCTTGCCTCCAGGGTCCTGCCCAGTTTCAGTTCCTGCCTTGGCTTCCCTTAATGGATTGTGATTCAGGATACGTAAGCCAAAAACCTTTTCCTCCTCTAGTTGCTTTTGGATTTATGGTGTTTCGTCACACCAACAGTAACTGCTTGCTCTTCCAGAGGTCCTGAGTTCAATTCCCAGCAACCACATGGTGGCTCACAACCATCTAGAATGAGATCTGGTGCCCTCTGCTGGTGTTCAGGCATACATGCAGACAGAACATTGTATACATAATAAAATAAATAAATCTTAAAAAAAAAAATGAAAGGAAATAAACACAGCTGTCATGACCATGAAACACGTGCAAGGCTTCATGTCACAGATAAGTTCTGAAAACCTCTCTAAGTGAAAGAAGCCTGTTGCAGAAGTCCATGTTTTATGACTCTGCTTGTACCAAAGGCTAAAAATAATTTCACGTGAAAACACATTAATAGCAAGCTGAAGGGGCTGTTAGGAAATAGGGACTGCCTGCTAATGAAAATGAGCTTGCTCTCACTGTTCGAAGTTCTGGGGAGCAAACCCAGGATCTCATACATGCCAGAAAAGCACCCTACCACGGAGCGACAGCCACTTTTACTTTAAGTAGACTGCTTGTGCAGTGTGTTTTTCTTACCTCAATAAGGTTAGCATGCAAAATAAAAAGGGCTGGGCCGATGATGTGGCTCAGTGGTTGAGGGCCTACCCAGGAAGCACTACGAAAGCAGTAAGTTCTACCCCTGGTACTGCATAAACCAGGCACGTGGGTTCAGGGCTGTAATTCCAGCCACTGGAGAGGATAAGGCAGAGGGATAGATTTAGCCTGGAGTTTGAGGACAAAGTTATGAAGTGAGTTCCAGCCCAGCAGGGGCTACAATGTATAAGGTTGTGTCAAAAGTCTGGGCACACAAGATAGCTCAGTGAGGAAGGGTGCTATCTGCCAAGCCTGGTGACCTGAATCGGACCTCTGTTGTTCTCTGACCATGGCATATATACACCTACATACAAATAATAAATGTAATAAGCAGATTATGTAAAAATAACAATCTAAGCCAGGAGTAGTGGTGCACAGCTTTAATCCCCACACTCAGGAGGTAGAGGCAGGCAGATCACTCTGAGGCCAGCCTGGTCTACAGAGTGAGTTCCAAGGCTACAGAGAAACTCCATCTTGAAAAACAACAAAACAAAACAAATAAAAAAATAAGTCTGGGGTGGTAGTCCACACCTGTAATCCCAGCACTCTGGGAGGCAGAGGCAGGCCAGTCTCTGAGTTCGAGGGCTGCCTGGGTCTACAAAGTGAGTCCAGGACAGCCAAGGCTACACAGAGAAACCCTGTCTCAAAAAACAAACAAACAAACAAAAAACCCACACACACACAAAAAAAGAAAAACAAAAAAAGTAATAAAAATTTGTTTTTCATCTTGCACATACTATATGAGAAAAGTAATGCAGTTCATCCTGGGATGATTCCTTTGTAATTTCAGTTACTAATACAAGAGCATTTTGGAAATTTTGTTTCCTTTTTTTTTTTTTTTTTTTTCCCCCTTGAGACAAGTTTTCACTGTATAGCTCTGGCTAACCTGGAATTTGCTAAGTAGACAAGGCTAGGCTTGAACTCAAAGATCTGCCTGCCTCCACCTCCAGAGTTCTGGGACTAAGGGCACACCACCGCCTTTCTTCCTTTTTGAGACAATGTCTTATACAGCCCAGGCCGCCTGGAGTCCATTATGTAGCCACGGCTGGCCTCTCTCCCCCCCCCCGCCCCCCCCGTCCCCCATGACAGGTATGAGCCATGACGCCTGGCTGGGAAGTTTCTGTTAGAGTAAGGTATCTGCCGTGGCTACAACGCAGTTCTTGTTTAACTGTTGTGATGTGACGCAACAGTTAAAAGCAGTCCTTCTGTGTGAATGAGGGACAAACAGACAGTTTGTAGACAGAGCCAGTATTGTGCTTCAGGAAGGCCTGAGGGTTCCTTGGTGTTACTTAGAACTCACCCTACCCTGAGCTCAAAGAAAAATCTGAACTCACTTTGTGGCCCCAGCTTCTGGATGATCGGCAAGGCGCTTGTCACAGCCACGGAAGTCACGGTCTTCACGCCCTTCTCTGCCATCTCACACACAGACCTCAAGTACGGATGCTGGTCCTTCGTGCTGACGTAAGCGGAGGACACGAGTTCATAGGTAGAGCTCACCAAGGGCAAGCTGGCCACCCTGGTCACCACGCTCTGCAACCATGGAGGAACAGGGATTAATGACTCAAAGGACAAGAAAGAACCGGGTCAAGAAACGAGTACTTAAAAAATCATACCGGTTGTGGATCAACTGCTACAGACGCCATTTTTCAACCTGGAGAGAGAAGAAACTGGTTTCAGAACATTGGGAATCAATTCCTGCCCCACCCTTGGCAGGTGCACAAGTCCAGCACAGAAAGTTTCAGTTTCCCACCCTCTAACTCAGAGCCCTCTCTGGGGCCAACAGCCTGACTGAGGCAAGGCTCCAGAGCTGTTCACACACCTTAAATAAGAAACATAGTCTTGACGGTGCCCTGTCTCTTAAACAAGACATTAGGAATGCCTTTGAAATGTCTGTTCTCAAAAATGCTAGCCAGAAAGGCAAAGGATTCAGTTCCAACAGAAGACGTCTTAGCTTCCTCACACACCTGCCCTTGATTTTGTATTTCTGCGACAGGATATCTCTGTATAACAGTCCTGGCTATCCTGGAACTAGTTTTGTAGACCATACTGACCTCGAACTTACAGATCCATCTCTGCCTCTCAGGGTGTGAGGATTAAAGGCATATACCACCAAACAGGGTCTCACTGTGTTAACCCTAGGCAGCCTAGAATTCATTATCTTGGCCAGGCTGGCTTCCAGCTAAGAGATATGCTTGGCTCTGCCTCCCAAGTACCAGGATTAAAGGCGGCCTCGATCCACTTAACTCTCAGCCTGTCTAAAGCCCAGACTGGTCCTCCTTACTTGACTTCCCTAGTGTTGGGATTAGGCCCAGGCCACCAAGCCTGCTCTCAGGATCAGGGCAATCAAACTGTGACACGGTGTTTACCATTCTTGAGAACAAGATTGAAACCGGCAGTGGATGCCCTATGCAGATTGAGCTCCAGAAAGAGTCACTCCAGGGAACTAAAGAACAACTCAGGACAGGCACTAGCTGTAAAACTTAGTATCCCGGTGACCCACACCCACACGAAACTGCCTTCTGCCCAGCAACAAAACCTGTCTAGATGCAGCTCAGCCCTCTGACAAAGTTCCCAGTTCCTAAGAATTGCCCTGAGGGCAGAAACTTCAAGCAGTATCCATAATGTAGTGCAGCCCATAAAATATCCCTTTAAGACAGCCAGGGCTACACAGAGAAACCCTGCAGGTGGGGGGCAATCTTTTTACACAGGTTTCCAGGGGGGTGGTGATGCTGAGGCAGGGTAGGAGCACAAGTTCAAGCCCAGCTTGGGCTATAGAGCCCGAGGGCAGCCATGGCTGCCTAGCGAAACACTAAAAAAAAAGACAATTCTCAACTATGCATCCCATAAGTACTTCTGTAAGGCGTTCCCCTTTAAATAAAACCTCAAACAGCACACATGCAAGTTGCTCTAACACAGCCCGGACGGAAGTGCAGGCAGAAAGGAAACCTCTAGAACAAAAGCCGGAGCTTCCTCAGCCAGCCCGGAGCGGTCCGCCACCCGCCACCACCCGTTGCTGCAGCCCCGAGCCCGGCGTAGGCAGAGCGGTGGCCGCCTGGGAGCCAGATCTGGTGCTGCACCCACCGAACCGGAGAGCAGAAGAGCGAACAAGTCGGCACCGTCTGGATCAAAGCCCAGCAAGGCAACCCGAGCGACTGCTAAATACCGCCTGGCTGCCCCGCCCATGCCTCCACCACACGTGACAACCCAGCCGCCTGGGGCCGCTGAACCCGGCCAGAGGAACAGAGCCAGGAGAGGCTAGCTGTCTAAGTTAGGGCTGTGTTGCAAAGGTGCAAGAACGCCTTGGGGTTCTGGAAAATGCAGACAAATTAACAAGAGCCCTCAGAAAAGAACGCTTCAAAAATGCAAGTCGTCGTTCTAACTTTTGACTTTGGATCAAGAAAGTTACAAAGATCTGTGAAATTCCAACGCAATAATGACCTCTAAAGATTTCTGGTTTGCTTCTCTTTGGATTTAAACAATTCATCAAACGGATGTGGTGGCTTCTAATTTGAAAGGTTAATTTGGATTTCCAAAAACAGAGCTTCAGACTGTCTTCTATGTTTTCTTCAGCAAGACATCACCTTGGTGACAGCCAGCAATTAAGGACAATAGCCAACTTTTTGTGACTTATGCAATTTTTAAAAAGTGGTTGTACTTTGTTTTATTGAGCCTCAAAGAAATCATAGTTTTATGCAATGTTTTTAAGGAAACTTAGTCAACACCTGAATTATTATTATTTTTACCCCTGTCTAAAATGCAGGGATGTGAACCGGGTTATTTGATCTTGAAAGCTGTATGTCTGTCTGGAGTCATAACGGTTCAGTGATTTCTTTTCTGGGAAAAGAAATCTTTTTTTTTTTTCTTTCCCTGATTCCTTGCGAGGGAAACTAGAAGGAACCCTCCTCTCCTAGCCCAGGAGTCTGCTGTTACCAGAGTATGGAGTAACAGAAGATCTGGATTTCACGAAAACAAGGCTTGTGGAAGCAGCTTTCTGAGCTGTGGAATTTGAACTCTGGGCAGCCACGTCAGCCACCTAACCAAGATTGCACGCACACTGGTGCTGCTTATTGTTTTTTCAAAGGTTCAAATTGGCTGATTAAAATGTATGCTGGAATCAATCACCAGCACTGCAAAAGACACCACTATGTAATTAAAAAAAGAAAAAAAAAAAAAAGCCATAAAATGTCCAGAAGTCTAAAGATGTTCTGAGTGTTTCTGTTAAAGATTTTATGTACATATATGTGCGTATGGCGCATGTGAGCAGATGTCCTTCCAGGCCTCTTAGAAATGGACCTTGGATCCCTAGGAGCTAGAGTTACAGGTGGTTGTGAATCGAAGCACTCAGGAGGCTGAGGCAGAAGGATTACTACAAGTTTGAGACCATACTACATAGCAAATACCAAGCCAGCCAGGCTACACACAGCAAGACCTTAACCCCCACCCCCACCCCCAAAAAAACCCCACAACTCTCCATCTTATGATGATGATGATGATGTAAAAATAAAAGCAATTGAATAATTCCTGTTTAAATTTAATTTTATTTTTTGGTGTTACTATAAGCCAGAGGTTCTCAACCTGTAAGTCGTGGTTCCAGGGTCCCCTAAGACCACCTGCATATCATATATTTACATTGTGAGTCATAACAGTAGCAAAATTACAGTTATGAAGTAGCAGCTAAGTAGTTGTTTGGGGGTCACCAACGTGAAGTACTCGGGTATTAAAAGGTCACAGCATTAGGAAGGTGGAGAACCACTGCTCTAAGCAAATGTTTAGTCTGCCCAACTCATTCTAGTGACTTCTTTCTAACCTGACCTTTTTTTTTTTTTTTTTTTTTTTTGCCCTTTCCCCTACAAAAAACCCTCTGTATAAATTTCAAGCCTGTGAGTCACTTCCCTTTTTAAAGTTGTGCAATTTTCCTTCTGTTTTATTTGCCGGCACTGGAGCAGGCCCCAAGGACTCATCTGGAACCAGACTACCCTAACCTACAAAGGTTGGAATACTCCAGATTAGTGCGGCATTTCTATTTCACTTTCACCGATGTGAGGAGTCGGGTAGAGCAAGAAGATTTATTTAGAAGAAGAAGAAGAAGAAGAAGAAGAAGAAGAAGAAGAAGAAGAAGAAGAAGAAGAAGCCGCCAGGCATGTTGGCACACCCTTGCATTCCCAGCACTCAGGGAAGCAGAGGCAGGTGGATCTCTGTGAGTTTGAGGCCAGCAAGTTCCAAGACACAGCCAAGGCTACACAGAGAACCCCTGTCTCCAAAACCCAAAAAAAAATAAAAAAGAAAGAGAGAAAGAAAGAATTCCTCAGGGTGGGAGGGGCTTCAAGGTTTTTTGTTGTTGGTTTTGGTTGTTTCATTTTCTCTTGAGACAAAGCCTCACTCTGTTACCTAGGCTGGCCTTAAACTCACCATGGAGTGACCTTGTTGGGAACAAGCAAAAGAAACTTTACATACTACCATTTTGTTTTTAGACTCCATTTAATCATAAGGAGAAACTACGTCTAAGACCCAAGCCCTATGGGAGCTGAGTACTTCCCAGTAGCCAAACAGTGTCTCTTGTAAGCAGTTGTCTGAGTCTAGCCATCTCAGGGACAACTTGCAAGGAAACAATTGCCTAAGCCCAGCCATTTCCAGGACAACTGCTCCATCTTTCTGGCTGAGTCAGACTAAGTTCATGCTTTCAGGCCCAGGAACCTACTCTTGTGACTGATGGACACTCCCTTGCTCAACCCCTTATGTCAAAATATGATTGTACAATGCTGCAGCCCATCCTGCTTCCCCTCGATTAATGCTTTCATGCTTTAAGCATGCTGTCCAACATCTCTTCAGCGTTAGTTATGTTCTGCGCCTGACTGATCAGCACATCAGTAGCAGATTGATTATAATAATTTTTTGTCATCTGCATTGACCTGGTGTTTGAGATGTATGCTCAATTTAAGTGGACCCCACAATAATCTCAAACTTGAAGTGATCCTCCTGCCTCAGCTTCCTCAGTATTAGCAGTACAGGCATGAACCAGGCCCAGAAAAAGCTGTTTTTATTTACAAAACTGAGTTTTCATGGTATGGTCTGAAGACACCAGAGTCACCTGATCAGAGACTTTTGCCTCCTACTCAAGATCGACTGAGTCAGGACTGGTAGAACCTTACCACAGTCTGGAGCCTTGCTGGCGTGGAATTACTACTGCCGTTTAAAACAGAAACAGTGCCATGAAAGTTGCTGATCTGCCAAGCAGCAACTTGGCCAAGATTAGATACCAAGGAGATGACCCCAGCTAGTTGCTTAATTTATTTTTGTTTTACTTCACCTGTGAAATGGAGATAACAATACTTCCTGGTCTATATAAGGTTATTTGGCTATTCCTTCTATTAGTCTTTTAATTTCTCTGTCGGCTCTTTTTTTCTTCTCTCTCTCTCTCTCTCTCTCTCTCTCTCTCTCTTTGTGTGGCCTAGACTACCCTCATATTCCCTATGTAGTTTAGGTTGGCCCTGGACCTAATCTTCCACTCCACCTCCTGAATGGTGGGACTGTGGATGTGTGATTAGGACTACAGCCACATATTACCAGGCCTCGATAAACTCTGCTGTTACCAGGTAAGGATAAGGGGCCTGAGTTTGGATCACAGCATCCACATAAAAAGCCAGGTGTGGC